TCCCCCCCCCCCTCTGCAAGGAGACCCCCCACTCTTCATAATGCATGACAGACCTAAAATAATTGCGCTTTTGTTTAGAAAGTCGAGGTGAAGGTTTGGAACCGTATGTAATCCAGTTTCCTGACGTATATAAACTAGAGATGGAGTTTATCCTGTCCCTGCTTTACTCCGGTACAACGAACATATACAAGGATGAACTGGCGAGTATTGTATCTCTGACTAGTTTGCTCAAGATGGTGAGTATCCCTGTTGTTCTGACCGAGGAGACCTGGGATACCCGGAGACAGATCACCTCAACCTCGGTCAATGTTTCCTCCTCCGCCAAGGCGATTATCAACTTTTTCCCTACCGGCGGCAAGAAAAGGCGGGGCCGGCCCGGTAAGTTTCTGAGCAGTCAGAAACAGGAATCCGGAGAAACTGTGCTGAACACCCTGATCGCAGAACCTGAACCTGATCTTGCTCCGAGTCTAAGGTTTACTGGTGTAGAGAACCTAGAACCAGGAAACCATTCAGAGGATCCGCTTCAGGATGGAATATGCAACATGGAGAGGTTAATTTTTTTATGATAAAAATAATTAATATCATTTAGACTACTTGAAGCTTAAATATCATCAGATTTTTGTCACGGTTTTTTCATTAAATTGTTTACTTTTTAGCACTGAGGAAGCACCAATCTACCTGGAAGCATTCAATGTTCCCGACAGTGAGGATTTTGTTGAAGAAATTCAAGTGTTTGTATCCGGGAATGGAGAAGTGGAGAGAATGGAGATAATCGGAGATACTGAACCTCAACCCGAGGAGATATATGATGAGATGAGAGAAGATTCTCCGGAGGAAAATACAAATATATTCACGGAGATCTATTCAGACCCGATCCGGGTTGAGGATCAGGATAAAGAGCTGAGGAAAGAGAAGGATTTTAACCTGACTCCAACATCCAGCTCAGCTCTACCTGTATCCCATATACAGACTCTGCCGGTCAAATCAATCTCGGCGGGAGGGAAGGTTATCGCTGAGCTCGGTAAGGGATTTTCATTAAATGCACTTCGCTCCGCTCCTATTTTTGGGGGATTCCAGCCTTTCTCAAGAATAATTTTCCGTTTGTTAGCACGATTTACAGTTTACACGTCTTTATTCGACCATCAGGGTTTTTTTTCAAGTGAAGTGGGAGGGCACGCATATATTAATCTGATCTTTGAACAGGAGAATAATCCAGCCTAATATTCCAAATTTAATTATTATGTATTAAAGGATCTCGTGGATGTTTGTTAAGACAGGAAGGGGGCAGGGTGACTCTAATCCAGACTGAGGAAGGAGAAGGGTTGGATCGATTAATCTCTCTCGCGGACGCATTTGAGAAGTCGCAACAACCCGACTTTAACGACATCGCTAGCCCTGTTGTCGACGGGACGGATACGGAGAGGCTTCTAGTCAAAACTTGTGTATTATGTGGTAAAGCCTTGTTAGGAAGAAATGCACTGGGAAGACACATGAAGAACGCTCATCCGCCTGTGTTTGGTCCCTACGAGTGTCCCTGGACGGGTTGCGGAAAACCAGTTGAATCCGGGTATAAGATGATATCTCACATTGCGGCGCATACTAACCTTTCCCAATCCTCGGAGGATAGTTGTTTCTGCCCAACCTGTAATATCCGTCTACCCTCGGCCGATCTACTTGCAGCCCACTGTACCAAGTTGCATGCCGGAGAAAAGTCAAGTAGTTACAAACCAACCTTTCTCTGCTCAGCCGATGATACGTCCTGCAAGGAGGTTTTCACCGCTGCGCGACATTTCATGAATCACATGAAAACTGTTCATAAACTTAAACCTTGGAAGTGTGAGTTCTGTGAGAAGAGGTTTCAGGATAAGCAGAACTATCAGAACCATGCACTGGTTCATGAAGACCGAAGAAACTTTACCTGTGATATTTGCTCCAAGGTATTTAACAATCCTCGTCAACTTTACTCCCATAGATCTTTACATCTGGGCAGACGATTTCTCTGCCAGCAGTGCGGGTTCAAGGCCAGATCATCCTCAAATCTCCGAGGTCACGTGAAAGCCAAGCACGAGGCCAAGGCTATGGAGTGCAAGACCTGTTTTAAAAAGTTCAGTTCCAATCATAATTTGAAAAATCACGAGAGAGTGCACACTGGTGAAACACCGTTCAAATGTGAATTATGTGACGTCAGTTTTAAACGAAGTCATCATCTTTACAGTCATATTGAATCCAAGGTAATTAGCTTTAAGTTTAAATTAGTGTAATCGGTTTAGGATTTATTTCATGTTGGAAGACACTTTTTTGGAATTTTTAAACTAATACAATATGTATAGGTCATGACGCATTTTTTAGGAAAAATCGTAAATTTGATTAATAATAGTTTCCGGTCTTTAATGGTGATAACATTTTTTATTTGATTTTAAAATCCTTAATATTTTTATTTTTTATTTTGGTTTTTCACAGATTATTTTGGTTTTTCACAGATTAATTATTCCATATGAAGTTTAAGACACATAAAACCTAGGATGAACATTTTGGGAAAGTAAAGTAAAGAGTCTTGAAAAAAGAATAATGAAGACAGAGGAAAGTTTTTGAGATTTTTGTAAGGTTTAGAGGTTTAAAAGTTTGTTTTTGATGAGCCAGTTGTGTGCCATAAAGAGCCAGGAGCTGCCAGCAGTGTTAAATGAAATGTAATGTTTCATAATAGTTTATAATTAATGAATTAGATTATTGAAGACAAGAAAAAATATAATGTTTTTAGATATTTTTATTTGTTTATTTAGGCTCACGTTGATCTGTTAGGGAAATGTAAAAAAGACGGTTTGAAGGTAACATTTTAGTTTTAATGATGAAATATATTTTTAATTAAATTTAGTTATTTCAAGTAAGCTTCTATTTAAAGAGGGATATGCCCGATTTACAATGGTACCCTTTAACCTTTATGTCTGATCAAGAATTTAAAAAATATCGAAATTATGTTAAATTCTTTTAATTTTCTCCCATCGTATCTATATTTTAAGTATTTATAATGTTGTGTGTTTGTTTGTTTGGATATCCGATCATAACTCAGGAACCCCTTGACCGATTTGCCTTAAACTATAATCGTGGAACTCGTAGAGCCACGGATGGTTTAAGAGTGATAGGGAAAATTGAATTTCCGGGTAAACCTGGGTTTCCAAGCCAGTCGTTAATAAAATCGCCATTTTAGATAATTTGTTTTTTGAATTTAAATGATGGTTGTAAAAGTATTAATTATTTAGGTTCCGGATAAACTTGATCCGAACCGGAGACAGCGAGGCAGAATTGTCGTTGAGGACGGACCTGTTTCTCTCATGTCTCAGCCGGAGTTTGAAACCCATATTTCGGAGCTCCGGGAGGATTCTAAGCCCGGAGATGGTTTGATAGAACTGAAACACGAGGAGAACCAAGTTACCCAGGTCAATACTAGAAATTATCCAAATGTATTGAGATATTCCTTGGAAAGGATTTACCTTTTCTTCACTCTCAAAGATTATCTCATTCTCTCGGTTTAAAATTATTAGCTCTGAAAATTAGAAAATATGTCTCTATTGGATTTGCTTTATTTTATAGATATTCTTGTATTAAAAGTTCCTTCTTTTGACATGTGAAATCATTCATTGCTTGGTCCCTCAGCTTTTAATTATAAGAGTTAAATTATCATGTTGTCTAGGTTGTGGTGTTCCAGAACTGTGAGTTGGAACCCTACATTATTCAAGAACAAGCAGAGGAGATCGTTTCTAGTTCTACACATAGTATCTAGTTTTACTAATTTTTAGTTATGGAGTAATAGGAGTATTGTTAACGTTAAAGTTCGCTTAAATACTGCCTAACTGATTTTCAACAGTACCCTTAAACCTTTATATACGACATAATGGCGTTACTCGTAGTTTTCATCTTTGCTGTAGTTTCCGTAAGTTGCTCATTTTAAGTTGATAAAGAGAAAACAATTTTACCATCGTATCCTGTAATAAGGTTTAATACCTTAGTGAATTGTATATTGACCTTTTTTAAATCAACATGCAAGGGTCAGTTAAAATGTCGAAGAAAGTCTATTTCAAAGAATTTTAATTAAGCCTTTTTATAAAGCCGAAATCCAGTCTGCAAAGCAATAAAAATATATTTACATGAATTAAACCTGCTGATAATGAATTGTAATACTCACAGAAGAAAACCCGTTCTATTTATATATATATTATATTTACAGAAATATGGGAGGAAATATGTCCACAGAAAGAGTTGCAGAACCAGCACAGCAGGCAGGGTTTATATTTGAAATAATGGATTAATGGAAAATATGTTGGTTTGTAGTGTTTTTTTTTTATCTTTCAAAGAGATTTTTTCATTCGTGTAATGAAATTTTCATTTACCGTGCCTTCTCAATATTTTCTTTTAGTCATTTTTTGCCTTTCTATTAGAATTTTAAATTCATGAAAGTTTAAGGGAAGCCCTTGTGGGGTTAAAAGTCAAATTTGCAACAAAAACAAATGACAAATAAATTTTTTTTAAATAAATAAAAAGTAATTCGCTTTGATCCAACCGTTTGGCCAGCTATGGCTAATATATAAATATTTATATTTTCATATGTATATATAGATATACATTATACATTTACTGGTTGTTTTTGTCAACGTTATTTTGAATACTACCCTGACCCTGAAGGTTGAGATGAACCAGGAGGAGTTTAAGATTAAGGTTCGAGAATCTGCAGATAAATTCAAGGATATGGTTCAGAAGAATAGAGTTATGATTTTCTCAGCAACATATTGTTCATATTGTACTGTTGCCAAGGTAGGTTGGATTCAGGGTGTTCATGGGTAGATATATTTCACTTTGTTAAACCCCTCTAATAGAGCTTTTAGTTGCAGGGTTACTCACACAGGATAATAGTAAAATGCTGGTGTTTATCTAAAGATTTTTTGGCAAATGAAAAACTTCACTTAGAGACAGATTTGTGACTTTGGAACTATTTGCGGCATATTTCATGGCTTTAGATACTATTTGCGGCATATTTCATGGTTTTAGATACGATTTGCGGTATATTTCATGGTTTTAGATACTATTTGCGGCAGATTTTATGACCATAGATACTGTTTGCGGCAGATTTAATGGCCTTAGATACTATTTTTGTCAGATATTATGACCTTACGTAGATACTATTTTCAGCAGGTTTTATGACACATTTATAGATTAATTATAATTTGCTTGTATTATATTCCTAGATATTTAAATCTACCCATGAACACCCTGCTGTTGATTCAGAATGAAGTGATATTATTTTGATAAAAGCGTACTTTAGATGATATTGGGACCAAGTATGGAAGTTTTGAATTAAATAAAGCAGAAGATGGAGATATGATGATGAATGTGGTGTCAGCAGTCACAGGAAACAGAATGGTGAGAATCTTGAATCAATTTATTTATTTATTTAAAGAAAATCGCTCAGGTTATTCCTGGCCCCAGACAATCCCACCCCTCAGCACTTCCCCTTACGATACGCCTGGGGTCGTCTGTTTAGTCCGCCTAGGTTCTATTACTGATCCCTAAATGTAAGCGTATATGGTTATAAACTGTTAAATAGGAAAACAACAGTTCGACTCAAGTTATGATTTTAAATATTCCGATGTTCATTGTGCAGTGTTCACAGACTCATTTCACTAAATAAGTTGATTTCAAGCAACTATTATTGGCACAAAAGATTGCTTATATGTCACCTTCCCATTCCACAGTTCCCCTCAATTTTGAATGTGTCCCCCATATAAGGGGAGCATTACAAGAACTTGAAGGAAAATCTTCTAATACTCTGTTTTTCTCTGAAACCCTATACACGGTTTTATAACTTTAATAAATCCATGGAAACACCTCTGATATAATCCTTAAATTCTGTCACTTTGACTGGAGTGCTAATAAATATATATTTTAGTCATTTTTATTTACAATTTATGCAATGGTGCATTGGTTATGTAACTCATTATTTTTTTCGCTAGAGTTTAAGGAGTTTTTTGTTTTGGTGCGAAGTGCATAAAAGCCGTGGTTGATATAGTGCTTGAATCCACAATTTTGGCGGGTTTAGGTCCTATTGGTCGCTCTTTCTCCGGGGGGGACTGAACACTGGGCTCCATAAGAGTTGAAGCAGCTGTCTCCGGAGTGGCAGGTTTCACCGCCTCTACGTCAATAGGTCTCCGGAGTGTGGTTTAAGCCGGAGACGGAGCTGAACCTCCCACTTCTCTTTCTCCAACTGGAGTCAGAGTTCGTTCCGGTTTCATGATCACCTTGTATCTGTCGTTGATGTTGATATGTTCTGTCTTAGCTCGAGATTTCGCGGACTCCCTACAATACATAGTGTTAAGATTGGCTATTCTAAAAGGGTTAAATGTTCCATTTCAACGATAAGTAAATATGCGACAAATATTTTCTCAAAAATACATATTTTTAAATTTCTCTTTTTAAATAATCAACAACAAAAAAATGCCTTTTTAGATTTGTTTCTCAAATATATTCCCGGGTTAAGTAGAATTCAATTAACACTCACTTGATTTTATCCTCCTCCTTGGTTCCTCCGTTTAAGCATCCTCCTGCCGCACATGCAGCGCAGCATGCACAAGATGCGCATGCCCCTGAGCATAAACAGAGAAGAAGGAGTCCGAGAAGTAGGAAAGCTAGAAGTATACCGACTAGATAAGGAACAAATGCTGTATCAACAACTGTAGAAGATCCTGAAAATGATGCACACGTAAAAAATGCAAAAAGGGGAGTTAAACATTTCTATTGTAGGATTTTATTTATGTCAGTAAAATGGGGAAAATTAATGAAATATTGAGGAGAAAGTTTCAAAAAGGGACTAAAAACATGAAGTTGATGTCTAATTTTTTTAATACCAATATTTTCTTAACATTTTCTTAATATACCCATGCCTTCAACCCCTAAGTAACTGACCTAAAACTAGATTATTCTTAGCTGAACTTAGACTCCAATTACAACCATCTGTTGAACAGCAAACAAACTGGGACCCAGAGGAACCTGGAACCGAATTTAATGAATTTAAGCTAGGTCGCTAAACTACCCTCCGCTGGTTCAAATCTTGAATCACTGATTCAAAGTTAAAGATTCATGAATATTTGAATCGTTGATTCAGAATTTGATCCGGCTATAGGTATCTGAACTGAAGGGGAAAAAGTTTTTTATGTGAAAAGTAAAGAAAAAGGTGAACGTATAAAAATGTTATTTTATGACATTGATGAACTGACCGCTGTCTGAATTAACCAGCTGTAGAATATAGCTGATACTAGAACTATCAGAACATGTTGATTTAGGAACACCTCCCTGGTGCATCACAGACCCAGAACCTGTTATCCTGGAAAAAATCCTCCCAATTTATTTTTTCTTTTCGTTGATTTTATCGTTAACATTTTACCTGATCGCGCAGGATGTGACGGCTGAGTCCCCCACGTCCACGTACTTTGAACTGTCGGCCGCCCATACTGCAGAGTTGTCTGTAGATTTGGGACAAGTTAAAACTGGCACTGAAATAGAATATTTTTCACCACACACACTACCGAGAATTATGTTTTTAAAGATAAAATTTTTGTTTACTTACCTTGTCGATGCTCTGTGCATTGGAAACATTTTAAAGCATAAATGTTGATGAATATTTGGTTTAAAACCAGTAAATCTCTCAACCAATGAGACATAGGGAGATGTGTTCACTTGCTGTGTATTAAAGGATTGTCACTATCTTTGTTATTCTAAATTATCATCATTCTAATTTTCACACAATTTAAAGCTCCAAGAATTTTTTCATGATATTTTGCAGCTACTTAATTCCTTGAAAGCAGCTCTTCGTTTCTTCCTTTCAGATAACCCTTCGGCATTTCGTTCAGCTTATATATTCCTATTAGCTTAGTTTCCAGTTGCAGAATAAAGCTTCTGTATTTACAGTATTTTTTGTATTTTCCAGTGTCTCCTGTATTCCCTGTATCTCCTGTATGCCTAGTATTTCCTGTATATCAAGTATTTCCTGTGTTTTCCAGTATCTTCTGAATTCCCGGTTTTTCCTCAACTTCCCAGTATCTCCTGTATTCCTAGTATTTCCTGTATTTTCCGGTATCTCCTATATTCCCACTAATTCCTGTATTTTCCAGTATCTCATGTATTCCCAGTTTCTCCTGTATTTTCCAGTTTCTCTTGTATTTTCCAGTTATTCCTGTATATTCCCGTATCTCCTGTATTTACAGTATTTCCCAGTACCACGGTTTTTGTTTCATTAAGTGCGGAGGGTCGGAGTTCATAGACTGAAGTTAGTTTATGTGAATCAGTGTATTCTCATGAGACAGAGGTTTAGGTTTTGGGGGAAAACCTGAGAAAGTCGGTTTTCCAAAAAAAATTGTATTTTCAAATATTTTCATGTTTTTCTATTGCATTAAAATCAATGTTTTATTGAATATTATTGATAATGAATATTTGCCCCTTTACTTATATATTCTAAAAACTGGAAAGCTTAACCACTGGAATCTCTTGTTGTCATATAAACACGCCGAGGTCAATTCTTCATTAATAATTTATCCTCCCTTCATTATATATTCTCGAGGTATATTAATTATTCCTGTATTTAACCTTTTCTCTTTTATTATAGACTTCATGAATATTTGATTGACCGATTAGAATAAGTTATAGGTTATAGAAATTTAAAATTTTATGAAAATTTTTAAGAGCCAGTTGTGAGCAAT